TTTATTTTTAATGGATTTTCTTTCGGAAACAGAAAATTATGTTAACCAAGGTGTTTGTAAACCGAGGTACACCAGTACCACCATTTTATTCAGTGGGGTTCTCTAGGGTCTGTTTCAGAAAATTTAAATCGTTTTAGGCCTGAAGAATACTTAATAACCCTAAAACATTATATAACATGTGCAAAAACTACTCTGGCAACGAGAGAGTTAATGTAGAACTAAACCTAAATCACAAATAATTGTTATAGAATGTTAACATTTTAAAAAAATTACTTTCAATCTTTTAAAATCTGCAGATGTTGGTAAAATAATTTAATTTCAATGAGCGTTATTTCTCCTATAATGATGTGGGGGGGTTAGTAGGAGAGAGCTGCAGTAGATCCAGAAGACAGACACCCCCAGTTTCCCATTACCCTAGGTTCACATCTGCACGGGTGGTGCCGCTGTGGATCCGTACGAAAATCCATGCAGCCGCACCACCCGCACAGAGAAATGCGGACCTGCGGGCAGGTGCCATTCTAATGGCACGCCGCCCGCACTGGAAAACGCAACCGTACTGGGAACCAAGGTTCTCGTGCGGGCTGCGTTTTCCAAAAAAAAGTGCAGGGACTTTTTCCCTGCGTGTCACAGGCACGGGAGTCCATTCAAATAAATGAGCTCTCATGCCTGTACAAAATGCAGCCCGCACAGCCACATAGATGCAAACCGGGGGTCAGACTTTGTGGGGCTGAATAGAGAGGCGTACAAGAATATAGGCAACATTCAAGTAATTTTTTTCTTTTTTACAGGAATGCTTTGACTTGGGGAGTTGACTATAGCAACAGTTCTGCTGATCTTACCAGAAATCTTGTAAACTGATAACATCAGGGAGTGGAAATGATTGAAAATAAACCCAAAAAACTACTTGTCCAGGGACTAAATCGGTGCCCCAATCTACTTGTCTCTCATGATTTGCTGTCACGGTGGTCACATGATCGGGAAAGGTTCCGATCGAAAGAGGAGATCAGAACCTTTCCGTCAGTACCGAACGTGTGTGCTGGGGGCCCTCGCTCTCAGCACGTTTTTTTTTTTTTATAGAGCGCAAATGTGTGGCCGCTCGGCCTCTAAGCCCAGGTGCCGGGAGGCCGAACATTTGCACTCGGCTGGCGCCAAGAGGTTAAACTGCTCCCATACAGATTCACTCTGCACATGGACACAAACAGAAGGCTATTTCTCCAGATTAACAAAAGGTAAGAATCTGCAACAAAGTTGTTTTTTTTTTTTTTAATTCTTGCAATGTACATAGATCACCCAGAGGGGACTGTTTTGGTTTTTTTTTTCCTCAACAAAAGTGGAGTTACACCACATTTAAACACTGTGGAGTCACCACATTTAAACACTGCTAAGTGATATTTTAAATTTGTGTTTTTTCAGTTTAGATACACGTATTTAACTTGCTAATGCAAACCTTTGTAATTTAACACTTGATTGCAGTGCTGACATATCTCAAGTAAAACACAAGCAGCCATGTTGAAAGTGACACTCCACTCAAGAGGGTTCCACCACCATTATGGATAACCCCCTTACTGGTTGTGTGGGATCTCCAAATGATGAGATCATAGCAGCACTCTGGAGCACAAAAGGTGGTAGTCAAGGCCTCTAAGCCCCTCCTATTCCTGCACTCTCAATCAAAAACCGCATGTGAAATGAAGAAAAAATAGTAGGGATGCACCGAAATTTCAGCCACTGAAACATATCAGCCGAAAATAGCCGTATTGGCATTTTGCCGATCGGAAAAATTTAGCCGATAGAGGGGACTGCGTGTACTGCAGATATGGAGGGTGGGGCAGGTTGGGCGGTAGAGAAAGGCAGGAGGGAAGCAGTGTCTACAGTGACTGGCTGTCACTATATGTCAGTTCTGGATTTTAAATGTAATTACTGGCTTTTTTTTTTCTTCACTATAACTCAGAATATGAGCTGTCACTCTCCCGGAGCTAAAAGAGACAGTTTCTTTTTAGTTTTTTTTCCCCTAAGCTAAAAGAAGCAGTTTCCTTTGGCTCCGGGGAAAGTGACAGCTCATTATCTGAGCTATAGTGAAGAAGAAAAAAAAAAAAGCCAGCAATTGCTTTTAAAAAGCAGCACTGACATATAGTGACAGCCAGTGAGGGAGCCTCTCTGTCTATACTGCTCCATCACTGTATACACTGCGCCTCTTCTGCCCCCCCTCCCCCCAATCCCTGCCCTCTACAAAGAGGACCTGTCACTGATATGCTATCACATAGGGGACTATTGGTCCCATTTTGTGATAGCAATAAAATCATAAGTTTAAAAAAATAAATCAAAATATACATGAAACCCACCCCCACATACGCAGACATTTCGGTTTTCGGCCACATGCATTCTGAATTTTTGGTATCAGTTTCAGCACCAGAATTTTCATTTTGGTGCACCACTAAAAAATAGGGTGCAAACCACAGTGTAAAACTGCTTAAAGCTAGTGTATTTATTCATATACAGTTGTGCTCAAAAGTTTGCATACCCTAGCAGAAATTGTGATATTTTGGCATTGATATTGAAAATATGACCAATCATGCCAAAAAATGCTCTTTTATTGAAGGATGATGATCATAAGACACCATTTATTATCAAATAGTTGTTTGGGTGATTTTTGTTATCATTATGATTTAAAAAGGAGCCAAATGACCATGATCAAAAGTTTACATCCCCTAGAATGTTTGGCCTTGGTACAGACACACAAGGTGACACACACACGGGTTAAAATGCCAATTAGAGGTTAATGCCCCACATCTGTGGCTTTTTAAATTGTAATTAGTGTCAGTATATAAATAGTCAATGAGTTTGTTAGCTCTTACATGGAAGCACTGACTGGGCTAGATACTGAGCCATGGGGATCAGAAAAGAACTGTCAAAAGTCCTGCATATCAAGGTAACAGAACTTTATAAAGATGGAAAAGGACATATAACTGGCTTCATATGATCATCATCCTTCAATAAAAGAGCATTTTTTTGGCACGATCAGTCATATTTTCAATATCACTACATATTCTGGCAGAAATTGTCAAATTTTGGCAAAGTTTTGAGCACAACTGTATATTGCACTCAAATAATGGAGACACGACTGCTAAAAAAGCTGCTGCCGATCCTCCAGCAGATGTGATGTCACAAGCCAGGCCCCAACCAAAGCGTTTTGTTAGTAGGCAGACATTGCAGCTGGGTGCAGTAACTGAAGTCCTGTGGGATTCTTAACCAATTTTTAAATGTTATATACAGTATACATGCATATATGCACACACATTGCTCAAAAAAATCAAAAAGGAACACTTTGAAAACATCAGATTTCAATGGGTAAAAATATCATGCTGGATATCTATACTGGTATGGACTGGGTAATGTGTTAGGAACGTAAGGATGCCCATCGTTTGATTTTCAGGGTGTCTTTGAATTCAGTCCTCTGATGGAAATGAAAATGATCAACCTACAAAGTGAAAAAATTATGCATCAGGCTAGTCCATTTTGCTGAAATTGAATTGCAGCAACTCAAAAATGGTACTCAGTAGTTCGTATGGTCCCCACGTGCTTGTATGCATGCCTGACAATGTCGGGCATGCTCCTAATGAGACAGTAATTGGGGTATTTCCTCCAAGATCTGGACCAGGGCATCACTGAGCTCCTGGACAGTCTGAGGTGCAACCTGGCAGTGTCGGATAAACCGAAACATGATATCCCATGGTATCCCAGAGGTGTTCAATTAGATTTAGGCCAGTTGAGCGTGGGGACCATTCAATTGTATCAATTCCTTTATCCTCCAGGAACTACCTGGATACTCTCGCCACATAAGACCTGGCATTGTCATGCACCAGGAGAAACCCAGGACCCACTGCACCAGCGTAGGGTCTGACAATGGGTCCAAGGATTTTCATCCCGATACCTAATGGCAGTCAGGGTGCCATTGTCTAGCCTGTAGAGGTCTGTGTGTCCCTCCATGGACATCTGTCCACAGACCATCACTGACCCACCACCAAAACGGTCATGCTTAACAATGTTACAGGCAGCATAACGTTCTCCACGGCTTCTCTAGACCCTTTCACGTCTGTCACGTGCTCATGGTGAACCTGTTCTCATCTGTGAAAAGCACAGGGTGCCAGTGGCGGACCTGCCAATTCTGTGTTCAAAGGCAAATGCAAATCGAGCTCTATGGTGCCGGGCAATGAGCACAGGGCCCACTAGAGGACATCGGGCCCTCATGCCACCCTCATGAAGTCTGTTTCTGATTGCTTGGTCAGAGACATTCTCAACAGTGGCCTGCTGGATGTCATTTTGTAGGGCTCTGGCAGTGCTTATCCTGTTCCTCCTTGCACAAAAGGAGCATCTACTGGTCCTGCTGATGGGCTAAGGACCTTCTACGGCCCTGTCCAGGTCTCCTAGAGTCACTGCCTGTCTCCTGGAATCTCCTCCATGCTCTTGAGACTGTGCTGGGAGACACAACAAACCTTCTGGCAATGGCATGTATTAATGTGCCATTCTGGAGGAGTTGGACTGCCTGTGCAATTTCTGTAGGGTCCAGGTATCGCCTCATGCTACCAGTAGTAACACTGACCCTAACCAAATGCAAAACTAGTGATAAACAGTCAGAAAAGAGAAGTAGGGAAAAAAATGACCTCCACCTGTAAAACAATTCCTGTTTTGGGGGACGTCTCATTGTTGCCCATCTAGTGCATGAGTACACCCCTAAGTGAAAATGTCCAAATTAGGCCCAATTAGCAATTTTCCCTCCCTGGTGTCATGTGACTCATTAGTGTTACAAGGTCTCAGGTGTGAATGGGGAGCAGGTGTGTTAACTTTGGTGTTATTACTCTCCCTCTCTGCCATGAAGTGCCATGTTGAACTTCCAGTGACCAGTATCAAAGAACTCTGAGGATCTGAAAAAAAGAATTGTTGCTCTACATAAAGATGGCCTAGGCTATAAGAAGATTGCCAAAACCCTGAAACTGAGCTGCAGCACGGTGGACAAGACCATACAGTGGTTTAACAGGACAGGTTCCACTCAGAACAGGCCTCGCCATGGTCGACCAAAGCAGTTGAGTGCACGTGCTTAGCGTCATATCCAAAAGGTTGTCTTTGGGAAATAGACGTATGAGTGCTGCCAGCATTGCTGCAGAGGTTGAAGGGGTGGGGGGGTCAGCCTGTCAGTGCTCAGACAATACGCCACACACTGCATCAAATTGGTCACCATGGCTGTCGTCCCAGAAGGAAGCCTTTTCTAAAAAGGATGCACAAGAAGTTTGTCTTGCCTACAGTCAAGCATGGTGGTGGGAGTGTCATGGTCAGGGGCTGCATGAGTGCTGCCAGGACTGGGGAGCTACAGCTCATTGAGGGAACCATGAATGCCAACATGTACTGTGACATACTGAAGCAGAGCATGATCCCCTCCCTTCGGAGACTGGGCCGTAGGGCAGTATTCCAACATAACGACCCCAATTACACCTCCAAGACAACCACTGCCTTGCAAAAGAAGCTGAGGGTAAAGGTAATGGACTGGCCAAGCATGTCTCCAGACCTAAACCCTATTAAGCATCTGTAGGGTGTCCTCAAATGGAAGGTGGAGAAGCGCAAGGTCTCTAACATTCACCAGCTCCTTGATGTCGTCATGGAAGAGTGGAAGAGGACTCCAGTGGCAACCTGTGAAGCTCTGGTGAACTCCATGCCCAAAAGGGTTAAGGCAGTGCTGGAAAAGAATGGTGGCCACACAAAATATTGACACTTTGGGGCCAATTTGGACATTTTCACTTAGCGGTGGACTCACTTTTGTTGCCAGCGGTTTAAACATTAATGGTTGTGTGTTGAGTTATTTTGAGGGGACAGCAAATTTACACTGTTATACAAGCTTTACACTCACACTTTGCTACAGTGTGTAAAGTAGTAAGTTCTTCAGTGTTGTCACATGAAAAGATATAATAAAATATTTACAAAATGTTGAGGGGTGTATTCACTTCTGTGAGATTATATATATATTTAGTACATTTCTGTTTGAGTGTGATGGTGAAATGCTCACTTATTTAAATAGGAAAAGAGGAGTTGTAGGATTCAGGGCATTGTGCCACGTGTTCTTGTGATGAATACAGCTTACTCAGGAATAGCCATTATGGAGAATCAAGTTGTGTTGTCCATGACATGACTTCCATATACCTAAAGGGATCAGTCCACCCAAAACTATAAAACTTAAGAGTTGTATTCTGCTAGGTGGGGTAATTCTTGCCTTCTTATATGGCTTGACTTCTCTAAAAATGATCTCCTTGTAATAAATTCCAATTTATTGGCCCCATGGGTGTTCCTACTTGCCTTTGCATATTCCAGCACCTCCTTTTTCATGCTCCATAAAGTTAAAGCCATGGAAGTTGCAATGTTATCCGCTGGTCGATCTTCAGTTTCGATAGTGCTAAGATGTGGCTGGGGGGTTCAGGTCTAGTAGCCAATTGCTAGGCCTGAGAACTGTCACATGACAGAGGAGACCACACTGCTACTTCTAGGCTGTGAACCCAGGTATTTTATGTGAGTTACAACAGAGAAGCAGTTAAGTGGAAGGGGGGTTACGGAAAAAGTAAGACTTTGACAATGTCTTGGAAAATCCATTCTTCCCATCTGACCTTTTGTCTGTTCAGGGCAAGCTCCCTGTAAATGATGTAAGCTTACTGTCCAAACAATGCCAAAAGAAATACACAGGCTGCCATTACTAAACTCTCCTCTGAAATTGCTATTGACCTAGGAGTTGGTTCTCTGTCTTCTACAGTCAGGTCCATAAATTTTGGGACATCGACACAATTCTAACATTTTTGGCTCTATACACACCACGATGGATTTAAAATGAAACGAACAAGACCGTCAGCTTTAATTTGAGGTGAACGGTGTAGAAATTACAACAGTTTGCATATGTGCCTCCCACTGTTAAGGGACCAAAAGTAAGGGGACAATTGGCTTCTCAGCTGTTCCATGGCCAGGTGTGTGTTTATTCCCTCATTAACCCAATTACACAGATAAAAGGTCCAGAGTTCATTTCAAGTGTGCTATTTGCATTTGGAATCTGTTGCTGTCAACTCTCAAGATGAGATCCAAAGAGCTGTCACTATCAGTGAAGCAAGCCATCATTAGGCTGAAAAAACAAAACAAACCCATCAGAGAGATAGCAAAAACATTAGGCGTGGCAAAACAACTGTTTGGAACATTCTTAAAAAGAAGGAACGCACCAGTGAGCTCAGCAACTCCGGAAGACCACGGAAAACAACTGTAGTGGATGACCGAAGAATTCTTTCCCTGGTGAAGAAAACACCCTTCACAACAGTTGGCCAGATCAAGAACACTCTCCAGGAGGTAGGTGTATGTGTGTCAAAGTCAACAATCAAGAGAAGACTTCACCAGAGTACATCTTGTGGTGAACCCTCTGTATTCAAACCATTGGTGAGCCTCAAAAACAGGAAGGCCAGATTAGAGTTTGCCAAACGACATGTAAAAAAGCCTTCACAGTTCTGGAACAACATCCTATGGACAGATGAGACCAAGATCAACTTGTACCAGAGTGATGGGAAGAGAGGATCATGAGCAGTTCCTTTCCTTCTCCATACTCTTAAGCATACCACCTCCTCAGTGAAGCATGGTGGTGGTAGTGTCATGGAGTGGGCATGTATGGCTGTCAATGGAACAGGTTCTCTTGTATTTATTGATGATGTGACTGCTGACAAAAGCAGCAGGATGAATTCTGAAGTGTTTTCGGGCAATATTATCTGCTCATATTCAGCCAAATGCTTCAGAACTCATTGGACGCCGCTTCACACTGCAGATGGACAATGACCCAAAGCATACTGCAAAAGCAAACAAAGAGTTTTTTAAGGGAAAGTGGAATGTTATGCAATGGCCCAAATCAATCACCTGACCTGAATCCAGTGGAGCATGCATTTCACTTGCTGAGGACAAAACTGAAGGGAAAATGCCCCAAGAACAAGCAGGAACTGAAGACAGTTGCAGTAGAGGCCTGGCAGAGCATCACCAGGCATGAAACCCAGCGTCTGGTGATGTCTATGCATTCCAGACTTCAGGCTGTAATTGACTGCAAAGGATTTGCAACCAAGTATTAAAAAGTGAAAGTTTGATTTATGATTATTTTTTTCCCATTACTTTTGGTCCCTTACAAGTGGAAGGCACATATGCAAACTGTTGTAATTCCTACACCATTCACCTGATTTGGATGTAAATACCTCAAATTAAAGCTGACAGTCTGCAGTTAAAGCACATCTTGTTCGTTTCATTTCAAATCCATTGTGGTGGTGTTTATTAGAGCCAAAAATGTTAGAATGGTGTCAATGTCCCAATATATATGGACCTGACTCTGTATACAATGCAAGTCATGGTCTTAGAAATTTTCTGATGTTACTTGTTGCGTATTTGCTCTATTTGATATTTTATGAGCCACTGACCCAAAAACAAAGTCAAATAATTTCTGTAAAAAGGCTCCAAACAAGTTGTGTATTCTGAAGAGATTCGCAATGGAAGCCCAGACTTAAAAGGCCAGTTCCACTGCTCTATCACACGGTTTGGGGGTGGGGGCCTAGAGGTCATTGGGAGCAAAAAAAAAAAAAAATCCTAATATCAGTGGGCAGTAGGAGTAAAAGAAATGCTCCTATGTCACTGGAAGGAATGGTGGGTTCTTGTATTAAGGAAATAATGACTTACCACTGGTGTTCTTGGAGACAACGTGCAGTCTCCCATGTCCTGGGCTGCCCCTCATATGGAAGTCACAACCAGGCCTTTACCCGACCCAATAGTGTCTGGTATATGGACGGGCACTGAAATGATCTGCCCTCCACCAATAACTTTCGGCTATACAGTGGCTTGCAATTAGAAATCCCTGGTTGTAGGGCCTTCCTATTGGAGAGGTTGGTTGCTAAGGTAACCACCTTGCCATAGTTTGGGGACCAATGTCTTAAGCCTTATTCGCCCAGGCTTTAGTTTGAATAAGAGCAGTATGAGATGCAAACTTCTATCAACTTCATTCAAAGCTGTTTTGAAGGCCTTTAAAGAGCACTCGAGAGGTTAAACACAGATCGTAGAGTGCAGACTTTAAAAAAAGCTGGTATAGGTTGTGTCTACATAGAGCGCAGCAGTCCTCACCAAGGCTTAATATGGGAGAACAGCACTTTAGCTGAATGATTTATTTATTTTTTTAGATTTGGTGTCTCTGGATTCAATTGGCCTTATGATAAATTCTAGAAAAAACTACAACTGGACTTTTAACAGCTGCCTGTTATTGGCAGAGACAAGGCTAGCTTTGTGGTTGGACAGGACACCCCCTGGCCCCAGTATAAAAATGTAGCTAAAACTATGAGATGGTTACACTGATATACAGCACTTGGTTCCGGTCACTTTATGGAGATAAACCTGCCTGAGGAAAATGCAGACCCCCAATCTGCATAACCCCCAGTGCTCTTCCTATTAGGAGAATGCTTGGAGCCAGAGACAAGTGCCAACTATTAATGCAGTCTGCCCCCTGCTAGCTGCATTGTCTCAACTGGCCATGGAGGGAGGGAACATGTCCAAATGGAAAAATGTGTTTGTAAAGGCAAAAACAGGACAGATAGCTTTTCTTAAAGATTCCCTTTAAGTGAGACTGTTTACCAGAATGATGACGCCTGCGTCTAATTGTGGGGGATAAAAGAACAAAGCTCTCAGTGCTTGCTTATCTATACATTTTACCAATAAGTGCATATAATAATAAAAATATGAATAATATAATGGTTCAGTTTAACTCATCTGCATGTTTTTATATTCTCATTTTCATGATTTAGGGCCCATTCATATTTGGGAGAAAGGCTATGACTGTTTGACAGACACCCAGTCATTCCATAAAATACAGGCTGCATTGAGGAGTCTATGATGTCCCACCAATCTCTCCTACATTATGCTGCAAAGAACATTCATGATAGGAAGTCTGTGACAAATCATTGTGACTGTGCATTCCTCTTAGCATTTTATTTTAAAGGATAAGTTCACCTTTTTACACAAAAAAAAATAAAGGAAACACTTTGAAAACACATCAGATCTCACGGGGAAACCTATCATGCTAGAATATCTATACTGATATGCACTGTGTAATGTGTTAGGAACAGCAATTGATGGCTCATACGTTTGAATTTTCAGTTTTGCTGTAGGTTGATCACTTTGATTTTTGGGTGGGTCATTGATGGAAATGAAAGTGAAAAAATTATGCAGCAGACAATTTCATTGCAGCAACTCAAAATAATACTCAGTAGTTTGTATGGCCCCCACATACTTGTATGCATGCCTGACAACATTGGTGGGCATGCTCTTAATGAGACAGATAGTGTCCCTGGGGTATTTCCTCCCAGATCTGGACCAGGGCATCACTGAGCTCCTGGACAGTATGAGGTGCAACCTGTCGGCGTTGGATGAACCAAAACATGACATCCCAGAGGTGTTCTATTGGATTTAGGTCAGGCGAGCATGAGGGCCATTCAATGGTAAAAAAAAAAAAATCCTCCAGGAATTGCCTGCACACTCTCGCCACATAAGACTGGGTATTGTCATGCACCAAGATGAAACCCAGGACCCACTGCACCAGCATAGGGTTCTGACAATGGGTCCACAAGGATTTCATCCCGATACCTAATGACAGTCAGAGTGCCGTTTGTCTAGCCTGTACAGGTCTGTGTGTCCCTCCAGGGATATGCCTCCCCAGACGAATCACTGGCCTCCCCCCACCAAAATGGTCATGGTGAACGATGTCACAGGCAGCATAACTTTCTTCTACCACGGCTTCTCCAGACCCTTTCACATCTGTCACATGTGCCCAGGGTGAACCTGCTCTCATCTGTGAAACACACAGGGTGCCAGTAGTGGACCTGCCAATTCTGGTGTTCAATAGCAAATGCCAATAAAGCTCTAAGGTGCTGGCCAGTGAGCACAGGCCCACTGGAGGACATCAGGCCCTCAGGCCACCCTCATGAATGTCTTTTTTCTTATTGTTTGGTCAGAGACATTCAAACCAGTGGCCCGCTGGAGGTCATTTTGTAGGGCTCTTGCAGTGCTCATCCTGTTCCTCCTTGCACAAAAGGAGCAGATACCAGTCCTGCCGATGGGTTAAAATTACCTTCTATGGCCCCTGTCCAGTTACAGTCTCCTAGAGTAACTGCCTGTCTCACCTGGAATCTCCTCCATGTCTTGAAAGTGTGCTGGGAGACACAGCAAACCTTCTGGCAATGGCACGTATTGATGTGCCATCCTGGAGGAGTTGGACTGCCTGTGCAACCTCTGTAGGGTCCAGGTATCACCTCATGCTATCAGTATTGACACTGAACCTAGCCAAATGCAAAACTAGTGAAAAACAGAAAAGATGAGTAGGGAAACAAATGTCAGTGGCTTCCACCTGTAAAACCATTCCTGTCTTGGGGAGTCGTCTCATTGTTGCCATCTAGTGCACCTGTTATTAATTTCATTAACAAAAAAGCAGCAGAAACTGATTAACAACCTCTGCTGCTACTACTAACGGACCAGATCAATATCCCAGGAAGTTTAATTGACGATGCTCTTTGAGCAGTGTATAAAAAAATGCACATTTTTTTGCAGGTAAAAAAAATGTGCATTTATTATTTTAGGAGCCTCCAAAAGCATTTGCGCCAGCAATAAGGCAGATCGCTGAATTCATGCAGGTCTCCTTCAGACTGTCAATATATGTGCTTGCTCGTACATCTCGTACAAGCAAGCTGACACTTCTGACAGAGAAAATCAAAGAGCTACCACAGTGCTCCAGAGACCCATGGTAGTTCATTGAGGACTACAAGCTGCCAGCCGCTAAAGCTGTAGGGACCTGTAGTCCATTCATTCACAGAGGACTGTGAATAAAATGACACCATCGTCTGGGCAAAGCCCTGCATGGCTGTGCGGTTTTTGAAAAGTGGCATCTAGTACGGGGAACTTCTTCCACTACTTCTGTCATAGGAAGAAGGGGGGCAGTGGGCAGCGGCTGCAGCAAAAAACCGGGAACATGTAACATGTTCCCAAAAGATGAACGTATCCTTTAAATCATTCTAATGATTGAAATGAAGTTGAAACTCTGCATGATCATTAAAATGCACACTTGGAAATCACATTGCAGTGCTTTTTTTTACAACAGGGGGTCTGACTGCAGGAAAGCCATACTGCTTATATAAATGGGGCCTTTAATGACCTTTACATGTTAAAAATAGTGGCAATGTTTTTTTTCAGCACACACTGAAAATGCACACCCCCACCCCCAAAAAATAATTCCACATAGAGATTCCAGAGTAAAGTTATTTATTAAATCATGCACATCACAATTGTTAGTGCAAATAGTTTTTTAATCTGTAATCTGTGCTCCAGAGATTCTATGGAACCTTTAATATCTTTACAAAATAGATTTCGTGGTCAGGGTGGCTTGCAGTGGTGGACAGTTAATAGGAAGGCATGTTACATGTGTGTACAAAGCAAACAAAGAGGAACTTCAGCTTCACAACTTCTCTAACGTCACCAGACGTATTACCCTATATGCTATTCCTATAG